CTAACTAATTAACGTCAGAATTTATTTCTATTAGTTCACATAAAATGAAAACTAATTGACAAAGAAATTTGTTTCAAAATCAATTTAAGAGGAATAATACACTGAAGTTCGAACATACCATCATAAAAACCGTTCCAAATATGAATTCTATATAAGCGTAAAAATTCCAAAAATCTGTCGAAATTGTAACTGTTCAAATATACGTTGCTACACGGTAATACTCGTTAAACCCAGAGTAAAGGGTACGAAACGAGGAAATCCAACATTCCAATATCTCGCGTGATATTCCCAGGAAGAAAACGAGCAGAATGTGTTCTGCCCGCGTTCAACATCCTAGATGCAACCACACACACACCCGTCTTATTTAAGTCCTCCGCTCATCGTCACGCAATTGCGGACAAGAGCACGAACCGGGTATCCCATTCGAAGGCTTGCCGCCCTTAAAAGAGCTGTTTCACGTCCGTGCAAACAGAGAACTACATTATCTTGCTGGTTCGCGGTGCGTCCCCCCTCCAGTCGGTTCCCATGTGAAATTGATCAAGATTTAATTCGCCGCAGTGCTGGAACGCGATAACGAGCGAATCAAGCCAAATGTTCAGGAAGAACTAGTCGTAAAACACCACACTGGCGAGAATTAGAGCGAGTTGCCCGACTGAATCCATCTATCGATATTTATCACAGCGTTGGGGCTCGTAAAAGCTACATTCCTCCATTGGACCATCCTGCGCGAAGAAACGTCTTCCGCGTTTGACGAGTTGGCTTTGGAAAAATCGCCCGAGTTTACATCGATTGGAGCCGACACTTGCTTGTTTCCACTTCATAAAGCCGAGAGATTATACGCCCAGAAACGTAGTATTATTACACGGACGATCGATGTATCCTCGCCCTACGCATTTGCCATTGGATCTACTGCAATCTTCGGACTAATTTATGACCAGAGGAACTTTGAAGGTAGAATAAACATGGGCTATTTTAAATATTGTAGGAATTTTTATGTTGACCAATTAAAGGTTTGTGATCGAATTTAGTATCCAGGAAGTGCTGCAGAAATGATAAATGATTCGGGACCACGTGTAAAACTTTAGTGTTATGTTTGGATCTTATACATGAGAATGACCTTGACGAATTAAGATTGATACGATTCTTATCGAGTTACGAAATAGATTTACGATCGATATCGGTTCAGGCGAAGACGAATTAGTGGACCAGTTCAACGGAAGAACGAATCCCGATTGTTCCGTCTGATCGATGGGGCTCAAGAGTTCACTTCCGGGATTACGATCCCGCGCCAGTTGACAGGGACACGTCATAGAACGGCGCTCGAGATACGAGGAGGATACGAGCTGTAAGAACTAGCTGTAAATTAACCACACACCACGGGACCCGGGCGTGTTCCATCGGGTTCGTGTTCCCCGCTTCTGTGTGCATGTTACGTTATACGCACCGTATAGATCACGTATCGGGGGCCCTCTCTGCGTACACGACCGGGCTGGGAGGAGTGCGTCACGATTTCTGATATCGCGGTACGCATGCACGCGTGCACAGCTTCCCATAGGATTTTTATAGTTCTGCGGCACGGTGTCATCGCGATGTTTAAGCCGCCTTGTCGGCTGTATAACGTAGCTCGAAGTGTATCTTCGGAGGGAACACACACTTTGTAATTTATGGGTGGAGAGCAGAGGTAAGGGGAAACTCATTATCTAGATAAAGAGTTTCGAATAATGAATAAAAGATAACAAAAAGAGTGGTTCGTATTTTTCAATACTTCGTTGTATCTTCAAATACTAACAACACTTAAAATTTTATGTCGATAATAAAATAAAATTCTGACAAAACATTATAATAAATAGCTATTCAGTAAATGATACTATAATGTGTTTCATTATTTCACTACTTGTCTGCTACTGTAATATTAAACCTCATAAACTTTAAACTCAGTTTTCGCAGTTTAGAAACCAGTGGACATAGAACAATTAAGAAGTAGTGCAACGCGAGTACCTATTTCAATTCTCTATTCCCTTCTTTCTTTCCACATATATTACTCCCTTGGCATTTCAACTTATTACCATCTGATTCAATTAACACCAAGAAATTACATTCACCGCGTTACGTAACGCTCTGCGATCCTGAAATTAATCAGAACCAGGTCAAGGATTATAATTTTATTCGGGGCCGCGCGTAACTCGGAAGAAAACAAGGCCTCGGGACGTTAATGTTTTCATTTTCCCCAGTGCGTGCGTACTGCACTTTCGTATGCGCACGCGTGTTCGTTTTAATTGCCGTGCGCTATATCTCGTCGGCTGTCTCTCTTATTCGAGATTATAATTTACGGGAACACACACACGTACACGCATCGTAGATCGGCTAGAGATCAGCCAGCGATCTCGCAACCTATACGAGGCGAATGCAAAACCAGCCCACGAACCGCCGCAACGCTGTGGTTAATGTCCCGTTTGATTGCTCGACGCTCCGATCGACGACGATCGATCAAGAGATCAAGGCCAACGCTGCGATCGCCGATCGATCGTTTTTCGTTACCTCGGATAACGATCGTTTCCGTGATCCACTTATTATGCCACCTTTCGCGCGCACCGACCGGCAATAATTACCTAATTATTATCCAATCGGTGCACGATTTTTCCTAACGCCGTAGATTTATTCGCCTCTTCGGAGCGTGTACCGTTCACTCGCTTCTTTATCTACGAACGGTGATTAATATCGGATGATGTCTGTTTACATACATATCAAAGAAGTGCTGCCGAGAATTATAATTTTCACAAACAATGTGAGTGACGTGAAATCGTAAGTGTGGCGAAATGAAACATTATCAGAGTTGTAATAATAATAATTTAATGATTGCAGTAGATACGGCTTGTCAGTAGACGTAAGTAGATTAACGGATTACAATCATGAAATCAAACGTCATCGACTTTTAAGCGATGAAAGGAGAAAATCAGACGAATAAGAAAACTTATTGGAAATATTTGTTTTGTATAACGGAGTATGATAAGTATGTGCGTCCGTTAAAGACCTAGATGAGGCACGAAAATTAATAATAAATAATTCAAAATAAATCATTCAAAACTATACCAACAGCCTGTATTAATTAAACCGTTATATTTACGACAATTTATGACTTAGAAAACGAAATAGAACGTGTCTGGCTACGTACGATCTTTTTCACTGTGGCAGTCAACGTGTTAAAAGAACTACATACCTAAGACACAAGATTATGAATTATAGTACTCTATCTACAAATCTGTAGTATTACGTGTACTAATACATGATCCACAGTTTATCACCAATTTTATATTTATTACTAAGATCATCGAGGACTTACACTATCTTAATACTTTTCTCGGAGCATTCAAATTTAAACTAATTGCGAATATCCATGTAAAAATTAACGTGTTAATGCGTCTCAAAAGAAATGCACAAGACTTTCCGAATAGCGAGGGGATCGTGAAAAATACTGGACATTTTTTTTCTCCGACGATTCGTGGTAAATTCAAAGAAAGTAATAGGCAGAGCCGAGAAAAGACGCGTTCACCGCGATGACAAAGTTTCCCGGTCGAGGCGCATCGTAAAGCCGCGGAAACAGTAACTCTGATTTAGCCCCGTAACGGAACGATCGTATCTATGAGCCGCGTTCCATCTAAAAGAAAACGGCAATTATTATTTACTCTTCGGGCCGCGAAACGGTTGTTTATTCCGTTTTCTTGGGGGATCGAACTGCCTCGGTCGAGGCCCCGGTGCGGATAATAGATTGAACGAGATACGAGGTGTTTTCACGGTCGATGATTCCGTTCCTAATCGATTATGTATTTTTGACCGTTCTTCTCCCCTCGTGATCGAAGCTTTCCATATCGGCTGAGAAGATCGCGAGGCAGTCGGCTCCGACCGAGCGAAAATCCCTGGGACGAACGATATTCTTGATTTCCCCCGTAAATGAACGGGCAATCAGCTCTAAATGCTGATATTCCAGAGGAATAATCTGTCGGCGCGATCGATTGCGTATTTTCCACCCTTTGTAAATCGTTTCTGTGCGGATATCGGTCCGTTATTTTCTCCCTTTTCCGCGACCAGGCAATAATACGCTTGGAAGTGGGCTCCTGCTTAGGATATTAGTCGCGTTTGTTATTTTGTTAAAATTTTTTAGGTAAAAACTGTTCTGTGATTCTAATGAAATCTGGATGTTATACTGTACAATGTATATTTGCTGGTTTATGATAAACTGAAAATTGCATTCCGGTGGAATTGTGTAATCGAAAGTGGATATGAAATTGTGATGCTAGTGTAGTTGGTACATATGACAGTCATGATTTTGTGTTCTATGTAAAAAAGCTAACCGAAATTTGTACCTCACTTAAATTTTCTTTATTCAGAAACACATTGTATGACGTCACGTTAGAGGAATTTGTCGAACCCCTTTTTTCCAAGGGAAAAACCCCAACTGTCCGACATTGACATTGATAGTAGACAGGTATCCTAATGATATAATTGAAATATTCGGTGTAGACACTCGATAATTTAAAAAATATATACAATTAAAGTTATGTAGGTACCTCTAAGATGTACTAGGAATAGAAGTCGAACTTATCAAAGTATAAGGTTTGTTGGCTGGTAAATCGGAGGTTCTGGGATCGATTCCCATTCACGGAAATATTTTTGTATTATTTAAAGTCAAACTGCATCTACAAATCAATCAAAATCTGCCCTACGAACAACCTATCGTCTTTTTCGTCCAACAACAGAAGAATCGTACAAAACGAAGTCGGTCCCAAAATATAACAAGATCAGCGAGAAGGATCGTGGCAAGGACGGCAGAAAACCATGTACCGTTTTCCCGATCGCGTCTCCCCGAACAAGAAGGAAACAAGGAAAAAAGACGACAAAAAGTCCCCCCCGCATGCACAAAGTTTGCTCGGCGGGGCTGTTGATGGCGCTCAACGAGCGTCCTCTTAAGCAACCAGAGCGTAGTAATAAAAATAATCACTTACAATCTAATCTTCCAGTCCATCCTCGTGGCAGCCATAGCGCGGCGTTCTTGGTCCCTGTGGATCCCGTCACGACCTTCGGGGTTCGGGCCCTCGAGGAAACCAGTCCCTGGAAACTCACTAGTCCCTGGTCTCTCACGAAATCACAAGTGAACACTGTTGTCTCCCGGTCGAAAACGAAAGCGCCGATGGTACCGTGATAATGATATGGTCCCGTGTGTACGAAACAAACGGTCAGGACGCGCGTGTGTGTGCGTTACCGCCCGTTCACCACCGTTTCGTCCCCGTATGGCCCGTGTGATCCACGGACGCGGATGATCGCCCGTTTTTCCACTGGACTCACGTTCGTCTTGACACCCGGAAAAGTCTCTGCTTCCTCCGGAAGTAACCCGAACTAACCGAACGTTTTTCTATTTTTTTCTTTTTTGTATAACGACTACCCTTGTCTATCCTTTCGTTGAATCAACAGAAACGGAACACCTCTGTTCGATCGGTTCGACCGAAAGTCAAACGGTTGCGTTCTTTAAACGAGCACCGTAGGAGATATCGTATAGAACGGAGGGGCTTCCTGTTGCGTGATGCACCGAAAATGGAGCAACGTGCGCGTTCTGTGCCACTGTTCTCCGTTCTCCGTAACACTCTGCCAGGATATCCGCGCGTGGCTGCTCGTCTTCCACGGCCCGCGAAAGGTGGGAAGATGTGGAGGAGGAGGAGGACGAAGTAGTAGAAATAGAAGAGGTTACCGGGTGGTGGAGGTAGTGCTGTGGTGGAAGTGGTGACGACGGTGGTGGAAACGGTGGTGGTGGTGATGGAGGTGATGGTGGTGGAGGTGGTGATGGTGGTGGGTACTCGTGAGAGGATCCTCGCCGTGTGGAGTACTAAGCCGTAATGACATGGTCTAGGAGATGCCAGTCAGTTTTGTAATAACGCCTGTAAAAAGTGAATTTCCAAGCGAAAGGTGGGGAAACCACGCGCGCCTAGGGCCAATCCGTTGAGCCCTCCGTATTCGACAGCCGGCCAATCGGAGTGCGACATTCCGTACCACGGGATTCTTCGTTATTTTTCCTTCCTTTTCTTCTTTGTCCATGTCGCCGTACGGTTGTCTTTTTGAAACTGACGACAACGGGACGATCGCAGAGATAAACGTTTGGATGGGTGAATAAGGTCCGTCTAAGAACACTTGGATTGAAATGTTCCTCGAGCAGAACTTCAAGTGACTTTGAAACATCTTGTCGGGTGTGCAGAAGGGGACGAAGAATTCGAAATATGAATATACGTAGGAAAGTTCGTACGAATCGTTGCACGATCGCGTTGTGTACTGTCATGTTGCATTCTTCATGCGCGACCAGTCACCCGGTACATTTAACGGTTAACAATATCATCCGTGTTATGTCAATAAAACATACATATCACCTGCGTACGATAATTGTGTCTCTGTACAGTTGTGCGCGTCGATGTTGATGAAGTCTTGTGTGATTTGCTTGGATCGCGGTGTATATGACTGCGGGGATCAATGTCAGCTACGATAATTTCTTCTTTATTGCATAACAGTAACTTATTTCTTTCGGTCACGGTGAATGCCGCCGTACGCCTCTCCTTAGTCCTTGTTACTTCATTTATCAGCCCGGGATCGGGGACGGCGTTGATCCGTCGTTCTGTCTTTCTGCTTTTTAAACTGGGAATCGTGTACTACTTTGTGTGGTTCACTGGTGAAAGTGCAAGGATACATTCGACCATTAAGAAAAAACCATTCTACATTACTGAAAGGAATTTAACAAAATATCCTTCGATTACAAGTGAACTACATAGAAAAGATTTGATTTTTGGTTTCTAGGGCGAATATCCCAATTACTGCCAGTGTCCCTAATAGAAACATAATATATAAAGAATTGTGTACAAATAATTTTCTTATTAACTGGAGCTCTGATTTCAGAAAAAACAGCTGCAATTTTACTATTCAACCTATGTATTGTACAAAATTACTTTAATTTTTAAGGTGACAGTTATATGGACACTAGGACTGCTAGCAGATTTTAATTAATTAGTAAAAACTATTTTTGTTTAATGGAAAAGATGTTAAGTAATATTATGTTCCAAACCCAGACGATTTTTAGGTTAAACAACAATGAGGTTACGGTACAGAAAATTCCAAGGACGACACTCCATGTGTATTATATTTCTATATTTCGGTATACGTTGGACTAATGGTTTGACTGGAAGAAAAGAAATTTACGATCCAGGTTCGATGAATTTTGTTTGGCAACAGTTTAAAAAAAAAATGACCTGCTCGAAATTTGAGCACCGCGGAGGGATGCGATCGCTCTCGGGCAGCTCGTTTCCAGGAGTAATAAAAAGGACCATTGTTCGGCCAGGAACTACTGTCGCTTCGGGAAGCGTTTCCGCGAAGATTCCGTTTCGCACTCACCTAACGGCACCAAGCGCATCCTCTGCAGGGAAATCGTCGAAGTGGTAGAGGAGCACCAGAAAGAATCCTATGATAGGCAGTTTGTCCGCCGAGGCTGCCGCGGTGGCCGCAAGAAATCATAATTTTTCCAAGTCGATTTCTCATGCCGCGCGCCGCTAATTGCCTCGGTTACGTACCCGCGCGTCATTAGTCCGCGATAAGTCGCCTGAAAAAGTGCGAATTTCCTGTAAAATAAAGCAGAGATGCCCGTCGATGCGATGAGTTTCACGGTTATAGAGATCGTGATTTATTTTCTCGAGAGGCTTCTCCATCCGCATAGACGATCGTGAAAATAAAAGAAACAGAATTACATGGAACGTGTCCTACAAAAATAGAACATTATTTTTTTATGACAATGACAGCTGAATTTCTGCGAAAATCTCGTAATTGTTTTCTAATAGTTAGAGGATACGTTTGAGTTTTTACATACAGACATCTTTCTTTATTCTTAAGGACATTTACCTTCTGACTGAAGTACACGCGAGTCAGCGGATCGAGGATGTTTTATTAGATAGAGTCTTCGGAAAATGGAAGTACTACCGTAGCCGGTGAACGTTTCCGCGAAGTGTCTGCTTTCGCGTAACGGGTCTGCGCATCCACAGAAACTGACAAAATTGTCGACGGCGTTCCATGATGAGGAAACTTCCTCCCGCAGCAAAGCAGTTTCGTGAGCGAAAAGGAATACCGGATAATAAAATAACATTACCTTGTTTACAGATCCACTGGGTGTACCTTTTACATCGTTGCCTGAAGCGATTCCCTCGGTTTCAAACTTTCAGGGAAACATCGATATTTACAAATTACTATTACTATTATTAAAAAGGGATTCTTCACTTCTTCAAAACTATGTCAAAAAAAGTAAGAAAATCTCTAAACTTCTTTCAGCAAGCCATGCAACTATGTACACCACTTGCATTTCTAAATACTACTACACACCACAATATTATCTCCCTTCATTATTTATGGGAGCTGTCAATTGAACTCTGCCACGCTATCTTATACCATCGATCTCATAACTCATACAGCCTGAAAACGTTGCATTGGAACTTCTTTTTAGTAAGTAATCTACCATTTCTACTTAACAAACTGGAAACACAGTTTCAATTAAAAATACCTATCTATCTTTTCCTCCTTTTAAAGGATCAAACATAGGCTTCTGATTTCGTCGAAAATACATACTGAACTTGACAACGTACAGTGAATTACTCATTGATACACCTAATATAAGCACTCTGGTAAGCCCCTGCATCAGAGTCGTCGGCAAAAAATGTTTCAGTTCAGAATTTTACAATTTAAAATACACGGACCTTTCATTGGGAGATATACAGAGACAAAAAAGAAGCATGCCCGAAAGAAACGACGACCCCAGCGAGCAAGAATGCGAACGGGATCGGGCGTTCGCGTAACGGAAAGCGCATCCCGCCGCGAAATGGACAAAATCGTCGGATAGGATAACTCACGGGGCAGTTTCGCGGCCGCAGGAAGATGCCCACGGGCAGAAGGGACCACGGAAAAAGAGATGCGGCCAGGGGTTCCGGGTTCGATTCCCAGGACTGAGATTCTCTCTCTCTCTCTGTTTCTCTCGTGAAACACCGCTTCCTCCCACCCGAGTGCGATCTAGATTGAGAGAACGAAGGCGCCTACCGGCCAGAAACACGAGCTGGTAGCAATAAATTATTATAGTACGGATGATTTCACGGGCAAGGGTCAAACGAGCCGAACGGAACCAGACTAGCGTCCGAGCCCCGCGCCGAGGATTATCAAGACGTTGTTGTCTCGGATGAAGGAAGTTTATCGAGCCTTTTTTTTCAACGAATGTTTCATTCCAGATCGGACGCAGAAAACGATGAAGCAGAGCATATTCTACGATGCAATTGCTGATAAGATGCTGAAAGGCACCGTGAACCATACGGATAGTTGATTAGAACAGCGAGAGATAAAGAATCGAAACGAGGATTTCATGGGAATTGAGGAAACTAAAGTGTTGAACACGTTAGTACCTAAAGTAAAAAATGGATACTCGTTTCTTTGCTGACGATGAAGCGATCGTAATCTCTGACGGGTTCTGGTACGATATAGTGTCTTTATCAATGACTTAATCCTTCGGTGAAATTTATTTTATAGTCTCACTGTTATTATGATGCTATCGAGATGAGAATGTCTTATGGTGTAGGATAAGGAACAAATAGAATAAAAGAGGAAGCATCCATAAACTCAATCCAGCAATATCAAACTAGATTTTTCAATTGAATGTGAAGCATAGTCCTCAGATAATACGAGTACCTAATCTTTCACAGAATCATTTTTGCGCTAAAAGTCCCATAGGGCCTGACGGAGGTGTCAGGGTCCATTTTGCCCCACGATTTCAGAAACTTTAAACATTATTCCAACATACAAAAACTAACTGAAGCGTACAGTTGTTTATATTAACATTTTATAAGAAGACCGGAACATTCTTTTGAAGACAGACGAGCAGATGTCTATGGGAACCAAGGTATCTGCATCAATTCGATCATCAAAAACGTCTCCCGAGTATTAAACCGAGGGGCATTTCGTCGTGAGAATCCACGGAAT